AAATGGTAATTTGTGACTTTTTCCTAGATGATAGGCAACACATGTTTTATTGATACTTGAGGGCAAGCTTACATTCAATTCCTTACAAACTTTTACTAGGCTACCATGTGAGGGATGACCTAAACGTTGATGCCATAAATCATACACAGATGTAGACAACTATGTAGCATAAGCTGATGTCTTAGAACTATCTCCAAGTGATGAATCCACAACAAATGAGTATAAACCACCATCTTGTTTCCTTCGAAGTAAAATTGCACCTATCCTTTTATCACGAACACATTGCTCATGTGCATGGAATTCAAAGAAAATGTTGTTATCCCTAGTAAGCTTTGACACCGAGAGTAAGTTCTTGGTTATTCTTGGCACATGCAATAAATCGTTTAAAAGCAACACACGAGAATATGTATGTAATGGAGACTGCCCAACAGACTTAACATCTAATGCAACACCATCACCAACAATTAATTTACCTGGATTATTGAAATATATAGGTTGAGAGATATTTATGCCATCAGAAGTGACATGATGTGTGGCACCCGAGTCTACAATCCAGTGCTCACGGGCTGCTAGTGGCTTGTGACAACTTGATTTTTAACTGACACCACAATCACAACCAACATCCTTATTACTGTTACCAGCATAGTAAGCATTGATTGACTCAATCTTTGAGTATGAGTTGTTGTTGGCTATAACTCCAGGAAAGTCTTCATCAAATCGATGCCAATATTGATCAACCAAATGTCCATTCTTCCAATACAATTGGCACTGCATTCGAGATCTACCCCATCCTCTACCAGCTGATCGACCACGCGAGTACGTCTGACGAGAAGCAACCGATTGCTAAGACTGATCTACTTATTTACTTGACAGTTGTCCTTGAGCGACATGCGCACTCATGGGAAATGAATCAATTGGATCACAAAACCCAGTTAGTTGGGTCTCAGCATCCAGCAACATAGTATAAATGGCATCAAGAGGAACTGACTCTCGCATGGTGGTTATAACAGCTACAAAAGGTTGGTATTCGCGAGGCAATCCCTTCAAAATACTAGCAACTTGCACTGCCTGAGATACAACACTGTCACACGATCCTAAAGCATCGCAAACCTCTTTAACTCGAGTGAGGTACACTCTCATTGATTCATCACCTTTTTTGAGTGACTGGAGCTTGTAATACAGGCTGATAACAGCAGTCGTAGATCTATTCGAAAAGAACTGAAGAACTGTGCTCCAAACTGTATACGCCGTTTCAACGCCTACAAATTGAGGTAGTAACTGTGGACCTATTGTTGACAATAACCAGGATGCCAGAGCACTGTCATGCGCAACGAATTCCTCATACTTCTGATTCGGTACATCTTCACCAGCTTCATTAAGAACATTCTGCGATGGAGCAAACACCGAGCCTGTAAGTAGCCTTTCCAATCTATGACTACGAACGGTGAGCAACACTTGTTGCTTTCACAGTAGAAAGTTTACTTCATCAAGAATGACATTGATCTTCTTATTAGAGAATGTCTTTGTATTTCTCGACACATTATCCATTGAAGAAGCCAATCGATCAGTGATTATGATGATGACCTTCATTCTTTTCCTTTTAAGCAGTGAAAGCACACGAAAACTGCTCGAATCGTTTGGCGAAAGATACCATGTTGAAATTACAAGCAATGTATTTTAACCAGAAAACGTTGAATTCATTTACAATGAATCAGCTGTTGTTATATACACACTTGTATTGTTGAGGTGACTGTAACTGCTATGCAATTTTAACAGCCTGCAACTAACTTCCCTAACAGCATCCTAACAGCCTGCAACTAACTCTCATTCTCTCACGCATACAATCACATACACATGTTAACATTCTAACACACATTAAAATCAACCCTTTGGCATTGGCGTAAGCCTATTCAGGGAGGATATTAAATGTTATTTCCATTCTCATTTTTTTTTAAAAAAGAAAAGAAAAATATGGTTGATGAATATTAATAAAATTTTATTCTTAATAATAAAGATATAGAAACATATTTGGTTATCTATTTTCATATAATATAAATATGATAAAGAAAATAAATAAAAAGATAAAAACATTTTATAAAAAAAATTGAAAATAACATTTATTTCTTGAAATCATATGGAGCCTATACTATATCCCATTTCCGGGACGTTGGTTATCTTTTATGGGTTTTGGTTTGTAGGAAGTCGTCCATTACCCAATAATGAGTGGATCTCAAAGCAATGAGCCAGTCTGGAAGCCCATATGGTTGTGCTACGTCTTACGTTTGATTCTGGGCCACGCTGCAATACCCAACTATTCCTGGGTATCTTTTTTACTGTTAGAAACTTGCTCTTTAATAAAGCGTTGGACACTCACATTTTATGTTTTTATTTTTTTCATTTTCCGATGAATATTTAAGTTCAAAACTAAATGTCAATTAAAGATTTATTAGTAATTAAACTTTTCTCATCTTAATTAGCTTTAAAGCTATAATATATTGATTAAAAAGTTTTTGATGCTATAATATATTATTTAAATTGTGAATAGTCATATTGTTTTTGTTAAAAAAATGTAGCTGCTTGAAGCAAACAGTTTAAATTATACCATTTTGCTCCCTATATCCGGAAGTTACATCTCTCATTGTTATAAAAATTATTATATTAGTTTTAATTTAGACAAGCTGCTAAATTAACAGAATCACAAGCCCTGGTATTCTTTACTTCCAGTCTTGCATTTGTTGAAACAATTTCTAAACGCAATTTATTAATGCCGTTTAAGGCAGAAAACCCGAATTTAATATTAACACTAATTAATAAAATTAAGGTGGGTGTGTTTTGTATTAAAAACAACTAAGGTATAGCCAACTTTTTTACAAGTTGTATAAAATTTGCTGGCATAAATACTGATAAATTAATTAATGAATGAAAAGAGATGGATACAAGCACTTGAATCTTATGTTAGGTAAACATGAAACATTGGCGTTAAGTGTTCAGAATCCATGCTGCGGATCCAGCTACTTCTTCTACCAAACTTGGAACCACTTGATTTTCAGCCATTTAGGTGCAACCAAGCTTGACAAAATGGTTCCTACATTTCTTGCAGCTAATGCCTGATGTGATTTTCAAAAAATAAAAAAATAATGCCTCATGTAAATCATCGGTAAGCTGTTGCTGTTAGGTGTGAGCAACACCGGGTACCCGCTAATTTTTTGGGAATCAGAACCGGAATCTGTTGCACCGGTTCCTAAAAAATGGGAACCGAAACCTGTTCAATCGGTTACTAAAAATTGGGATCGGGAACCAAAATCTGTATGTACCGGTTCCGGATATCCTGTTATTTTGACAGTTTTCTTATTCAACCTGTTAATTATTAAACATGAAGTGGGATGATATGACGCCTCCACTTTAAAATTGGTCCTTTTATAACCTGTGAGTAGGCTGAATACCGAATAACATCAAACATTCATCAATATTAAATAATAACGCTGTAAATTAGAGATAGATACAGAGTAAGAGAAGAAATAATACGAAAAAAATATATGAATTTCAGGAAAATTAATCAACAAACAAACCCTAAAAAACAAAATCTCTAATTCTAATATAAATTATATGATAAGATTTAAGAAGAAAAAGAGAAAGAAAAAGAAATAATGAAAGGAAAAATAATATATCTGACTTTGTTGAATGAAATCCAAGAGATTGATGTAGTGATTGAGTGTTTCATCAATGAAGATGTGTGACAGGAAGAAGGAGAGACAAAGAGTGATTGTAACCGTTAAGTGGGTGAGTTAGGGTTTCTAATTTTTGGCTATATGTTTATTTAACTTTTTACGTTCAAAATATTTTTTTTAGTATGGGCTCAGTTTATTTGACTATAATATTTTGGACAATATAAGTGTTATGCGGTTCTGATTCTGATTTTTGGGTACCCGATATTAGAATCGCTTTTAGCAGGGTACCCAACTGGTTTCGATTCCAAAATTTTGGGAACCGATGTTAACAGGGTCCTTACTTTTCTAGCTGAAACCGAAACCGCTAGGACCGGTTCGATTCCGGAACAGGGTTCCCCGTTCTTTTGCTCACCCCTTGCTGTGTTCTGTTGAAATTTTGAAACCAAAAAGAAAGATATTTAGGTGAGTGTTTTCTTTTTCTTTTTGTAAAAGACCGATCCAAAGCTTTTTAATAATAATAATAAATTAAATTTTATATTTAATACAATAAATATGATCAATAAATCATAGGACGTCATTGGTTAGAAATATAACAATTGTATTTATTATTAATTAGTTTTAAAAATATCCATTAATTTAGTGACTAATACAATCTATTGAAAAGGTATAAAATTAAACCCTCCCAAAGTAATAAATTATCATAAAGTTTTAGATTAACATTGTCCAGGCTAAACATCGGCGGGCAGCAGATACTTAATTACACTAATTTGATAGCCTTATTATTATTGAAGGTGGTCAATATATGTACAGAAGATGCGTACCAATCTTTCGTTATCCATATCTTAATCAGCATGAGATTTTTTTAAAACACATTTCACATCCTAGAGTTTGGAAAAGTTGGCTAATTTATTTTGCGGAATTTGACAGGCCGAATCGAGAGTCGAGAACTTGGTATCTAAGCCCCATGACAGAGCAAAACGTCAAAGACAAATATCATTCACCAATTATCTCCATTAAGCTAACATTTTTTTTAATACGATGGTGATATTTAATTTTTTTATATTAATATATATGAAAGATTATAGAATGGTGAAATCAAACAAAATAAATAATAAGGCTGTTAAACCATAGTCGGCCAACAAAACAATTAGTTACTAGTGGTAGACTTGGGGAAAAGAAGGAATACCAACTCTTTTACCAAATCTAAAGCTAATCCATTTTTTCAAAGTCTGCGCATTTAAACAAACGGAACCTTCCCATTTTGCTCCTTCAACTCTTGAAACTTGAATGTTCAAAGTCCAATCTCAATCCCATATATAGGCAGTAAGCCTTTTCAACACGGTACTGTATGGAATGGACTAGGCAACAACAACTAGCCGAGCCAAACTTTTCTTCTTCTTTCTCCATTTCCCCTAACCCTTTTAGCTCAGAAAAAAGATGACCCAAGGCGAGGATATCGCTTATGATTTGGTTTTGGTTCTTCTCTCCATCTCTCTTTTCATTCTCGGAATCGTCCTCGTCATCATGTGCATAAAGAAGCCCAAAAAATCAGACCAAAAACAAGAAATACTCCCCGTCAAGTCTTGTGCGAGCTCTTATCAGTTAACCGACATAGATGCAGCGACGGATGGATTTAACCATAGAAGAATCGTCGGTAAAGGCCTTTTAGGTACCGTTTATGCCGCCATGTCGCCACGAGGAGAGCTCTTTGCGGTGAAAAGGATACATCCACTACTCGTTTTAAGCAATGCTGGATTCGGGTTCGCTTCCATAATGAAAACACTTTCTTTAGCGCAGCATCCTAACATAGTCCCCATCATAGGGTTTTCACAAGCACCAGGTGAGAGAATCATCGTGATGGAATTCGTAGGTACGGTGAATTTGGATCTCTATTTGCACGAAAACTCCGATGATGCATCGTTATTAGATTGGAACAGGCGTTTGAGGATCGCTGCCGGGGTTGCTAGAGGAATCGAGTATCTGCACGAAGGGATGGCACCAAATATTATACACGGATGTATTAAGGCATCAAATATATTATTAGATATGAAATTCGTCGCTAAGTTATGCGATTACGGGCTATCGTTTTTGGCACCCAAAGAGACGAGAGGGCTCGTGGGGTATGTAGATGACGAGTATTGCGGTGCTTGCAAGGAAAGCGATGTTTATGGTTTCGGTGTGGTTTTGTTGGAACTTCTGACCGGCAGGAGAAGTGAACAAGGGTTGCTTGTGCAATGGGCATTGCCATTGATTAAGTCCAAAAGGTTTAATGAACTTTTGGACCCAAGACTGGTAATTCCTTCTGATTTGAAACCTCTTCTTAGACTGGCTAAGGTCGCATCAGCTTGTGTCGGTAATTACAGAAAGGATAGGCCTTCAATTTCTCAAGTGGCATCCATTTTGAACAATTTGGAAGTTGAGGTATGTCATTAGAGTGGGAATTTGGGGTATCATTTTCTTGACTTTGATTGTATACACGTGGGGTGTCTACAAAATGGGTGTTAGATAGAGTTGGTCAATGAGGGGAAGAATTTTGTGGGGAATATTTTGAAATGTAAAGAGGAAGGAGAGGGTGGCGGTGATTGGGAATATTCATTGTTTCCGTGTGGAAATTAGGGGATTTTTCATACTTTGGTGGTGAACGGGACCCATTTCTTCCTATTATTTATATGAGGTCCTTGTTGTGATTATCAGATTTTGGGGGACTTGTCATGGGTACATCATTCACTAATACTTCTCTTTTTGTAAATTAATCATCGACGGATTATTTGTGTTTTAGTAATAATTGTACAACTTTGTTTATTAAAAAATAATATTGGGGAACCAATGTCATCTTGATTGGCCTCTCTCCAATTATAGTCGTTCTTGTATCCAAAACATTATTGAATTTAATAATTTATTCGTTTTCATTATATTCTGTCTGCTTTCTCTGTTATATGACAGATTATAGCCTGCCTTTTTAATTGCAAACAAATAATCTGTTTTAGCAATTCATTAAATATATAAAATAGGCTTGTTAAGAAAATAAATCTTCTTTTAAAAAAGAATAATTTAGTTATTCGTGATATTTTGTATTCAAATATATATATATATTTCTTCATCTTTAGTATAGCTAAAGGGCATGTACTGTCCTAATTGGAAGAAAATATTATAACTACTTACTGAGGAAGAAAATGTAATTTACAATTGAAATTGTAATTCCTTTGTCAGCTACGGGCGGAGGATGAAGTTATGGGTTGGGTAACATTGTCTAAGGAAAGGAAAATTTTTAAGGCCCATAGGACTTTTAGCCGAAGAATATGCTTACCAGCCCATTTTCTTCATCTGATTTGATTCCAATTTTTTTGAGTTAAATATACATTTATATATCGAAAAATATTTCTAATAATTAAAAAAACTGATAATATTTATGTCAACCTTTAAGGTGCATTTGGTTCACGGAATGTAAAATTACTAGTGGGAATAAAAGATTACCAGGGAATAGGATTACTGGGAATGTTGTATTTTGTGTTTGGTTGGTTTAGCAAGAATGTAAGATTACCGTGTTTGGTTAAAGGAATAAAAGATTATTGGAATGTATATTTGACCAAATTGTCCTTATTATATATTTGTATAACATTACAAATTGTAAAATATTTATATATTTTCTTTAAAAAATTAAATTCATAATATTTATATAAATTTTTTTTACAAAATTAAAAATATAAAAAAGGTTTAATGAAATGGTAAAAAAAAAATTAACCCCTGAACTTCATATAAAATTTTAATTATAGACTTTTTTTTGTAAATATAAAATAATTTAAGGATAAATTTGTAATTTATCCTTCGTAGAATTTTTATTATTCAATGACAGAAGAATGATATTTTTGAAAAAAAATAAAAATTTAAGGGCATTTTAGTCCAAAACGCCGTTAATGTTACAATACCTAAGGGAAGTGAGGTAATGATATTCCCGGTAATATACCCCAAAAAATCTACTATTGATAATAAAACATTACCGGGAATGAGATTCCCAACCAACCAAACATGAGTATCCCACAATCCTTAAACCAAACACTCGGTTTCAAAAATAATTTGTAATGGAAGAAGTTACAAGTTGCAAGGAAATTGATTCCCATTGAAGACTTAATAATTAATTTTCTTTAAAAAAAACAGTGGCTTGAAATGACGTTCCAGTTTCAATGTTGAAATTAAAAAGCGTGAATCCTGAGCCCGGAGTGGGAATCAAATGCTTGAAAATGATGTTTATATGATATCTGTCTTCCCCTTCCCCTTCCCCTTCCCCAAACTTTAATATATAGCTCAAGTGGTTTGCTAATATTAATCATTTTGTAAACCAAACAATCATTCTGTTATGTCATTTTATGCACTTTTCCCCCATTGGATTTCCTGTAAGAAGACAGCTGGGAAAGGGGACAATTATTTGTGTGGTTGTATCTGGGAAACAAACCACATCCTTACAAACTCTTTAAATAAATACCCCATGCCTTACGTTAAAGTTTAAAGCTTCGTGAACAAGTTTGATGCTGTTGCCTGGCTTCTCACACAAGCTCTCAAACTAACACTTCAAAAGTTTATTAATTACAAAATAAATTATATAGTGTAAAACTTTTGAGTTTTATATTTTTTAAGACCTTTGAATTCGAAAATTAAATGTTGAAATTAACAATAAAAAATTAAAAAAATATTTACTGAAAAAATAAAGAGTTAATCTTAATCCTGTAAAAGTAAAAGTTTTACGGATGAATTCTAACTCCTAATTAAAAGATAACTAAATACTTTCTATGTAATCGACTTTTACAACTTTCCTTCTCCACTTTATTAAATTCATGAATTTATTAAGGTAATGATAACTAGTTAATCTTATAATAATAGTTTTGAATTAGGTAGCTGTTAACTCTAAAACCCAGAAACAAAAGCGCACGTTGTTTTAATTTATTTATTGGCGTACCATTTAAAAATTAATTTAAAATTTTCAAACTTAATATCAATCTCTTTTTTCATATCATTCAGTACATTAATTACGTCATTCCCAAATAAATGACAGTAATTAATATATATATATATATATATATATATATATATAATTACCACCAACTTGAAAGGTTGGAGCGGGCCATGTTTCATACGGGGAATATACTTACAGAGTCTTTACATCACATTAATCTCTTTCAATTATGGCTAAGAGAGGAATTTTCAAAACCATTAATATTCTAAAAAACAGTGTAATAATTATACTATTGAAATTCTCCTCAAATATCTAAATTAGAAAATAATACATGTTTGAATTTATTGAATGATTTCGGTAGTTGAAGAGAATATTGTTCTCCTTTGAAGTCCTAGATTCGAACAACTACACTTGTAAGGTGTATGCGCATCGTCAATGATGGATAAAGATTATGAATATATATTATCTTATAATCACTCTAGACTATTCAATGAAAAAGAGAATAATATGTGTCTAAACGTACTTGAATTTACGTTCTTTTAGATATTACAATAATAATCATACCGATTAAACTAAAACTTGATCGATATTAATATTGAAATTTATACAGAAATATTAATATTGTATATACTACAAAAACCGAATAAATATGTACAAATTTACAATTGACTGCATGAATTGATTTAACTGATGTCATTACTACAAAAATTTTGTCCGAAAATAAACAAGTAAACCTAAAAGAGATAGAGAGAGAAAGGATGAGTCGCTTAAGACATGAGAAGTTTACGTGAAGAAATGGGAAAATGGTTACCATACGACAAGTTTGGTGCAAAACACCAATATTTTGTTACATTCAAATTTGTTGTTTCGTATTGTCTACGCTACGAATTGTATAACTTCACATCTTATTTATTTATTCGTCTTATAGCTTTAAGAATACTCCAGTTTGACATTGGAGCTAATTAAAAGAGCTTTCTCATGAGGTAAAATGTTACCTATTGCTTGTCTTCTCCACCCAACTCTCATTATTATTATTATTATTATTATTTCTTTTTAGTATATAAACAAAATATTAGATTAAAATAAATATTAAGAGTCTAATCTCAAACTTACTGGGAATTGAACTGATTTATTTCAAGTGTTTAAGTATCTAAAATGGTTTAAATGTTTAGACCAAGCCGGGAAGCAAGGTCCAGCTCTACATTTATTCTGTTATACAGTCGTGTCTACATTAGCATAACCAAACTTAGCGTCCAAGCAACGTTTATTATAATTTTTTTATATTATTTTTCTGGAGAAAGAAAATTAAAATGAATAAATCCTATTCTCTCCATTCTCTTGTACCCTCTTGGTCTTTTCCTTTTTCGTCTTCTTCCAATACCGAGGAGGATAATAGCAAACGGCAGCTATATTCTCTCAATCATAAGCAGAAAATTGGAGAAAGGGAATTAAAAAAAAGCGTGGAAGAACTAAATTCCTTTGCGAAACATCAAGAAAGAGAAAGTGGGTAACTGAAAACGTGCTCTAAAAGAGAGAATATTTGATTTAGTTGTTTATTTTTATTATTGTTTTGTTTTATGTTGTAAATCTTGCTAGAATTCTCGTATGTGGGTTTGACAAGTGGGGAAGACGGTGGAATCAGAAATCAGCTTTGTGATGGGATTAAGACCATCAGCAGAAGAACCGGAGACATGTCATGGTGCAATAACTCAGACGACGACTCGGGAACTCTAAACTTAGTAACAGCAGCCGCCACCAAAGAACCCTCCGTCGCCGTTGCCGCCACCTCTGCCGTTCCCTACCCGAAAATCCATGAAATCTCAACCATTGTTTGCCCTTCGTGTGGCTATAACATACCTACCAAGATCAGGTAAATGTTTTAGTCATGATATTACAGTTTTACTTTAATTGTTTCGTTCCCGTATGGTTTGATCTACTAAAATACTATTATTATATTTTTTTTTGTGGGGTTAGACGGGAATTCATGATTTGCCAGGGTTACCAGCGGGGGTGAAGTTCGATCCGACTGACCAAGAAATTTTAGAGCACTTAGAGGCAAAGTAATATCTGATCTGCGCAAGCTTCATCCCTTGCTTGATGAGTTTATTCCGACGCTGGAAGGAGAAAATGGGATTTGCTATACTCATCCAGAGAAGCTTCCAGGTACTTTGATGTTTTAATTTTACCTCATTTTTTCTTGTTTAAATACGTTGCTTTTTCGTTTTTGAGTTTAATTTTCTATTTTTCTAGGGTATATCAATGATCTATATTTATCAAGTTATCCCTAGATATATTTTGTTTGGGCACCAGCAATGATCTATGTTGGTATAGATGAATTTTAGATGAAAACGTAAAGCCTTACTGCATTCTTTTTTAGAATCCAGTTAAGTGGATTGCAAGGAAAGTACCCAAGTTGGCAAATACTAGCTGCCGACCATGTTTCTTGGGTGGCCTAATTACGTGAGATCCTTTGGTTCTACTTCGATCACCACATATTTTCTTAAAGACATGTGATGAGGCCACTAAGATACCCCCTTTGCAAGCTTAATCCTAAGATTTAGCCATTGCCCTTCATCATCTATTGATCATTATAGTATTCTGTAAGTTTGAAAGTAGTCGTGATACCAAAACATTATAGTGCGTCTTATTTTCGATTCTAATGGTGCAGGAGTAAGCAAAAATGGCCAAATTCGACACTTCTTTCATCGACCCTCCAAGGCATACACAACGGGCAAAAGGAAGAGAAGAAAAGTGCACACGGACGAAGATGGGAACGAAACGAGGTGGCACAAAACGGGCAAAACCCGAGCAGTTTCGGTTGGTGGGATTGTGAAGGGTTTCAAAAAGA